TATCCTATAAAGTTGTCGTGGTGGGAGGAGGGGGTGAGTAGATGCCGAGCCAGTCGAGTCAGGAGAGCGAGTCGATGCCGGACCATTGGATTAGGACGGAGTCGCCCGATTTGAAGAGGGAGGTTGGGGAGAGAGAGAGTGAAACAGTTTGGTGGGTTGGAGGGAAGAAGGTGGATGCTGCACGGAGGATGATGACGACGCTGCAGGAAAGACGATGACGACGCTGCAAGGAGGACGATGACGAAGCTGCAGAAATTGATTGAAATGAATTTTGGGATTTTTCTATATTTTTCTATGTTTGATTTGAAGAGAAAGAAATTGTTTGGGGGTCTGATTCGTCATTTTTTTCTTCTTGTAATTGTTTGGGGGTCTGATTGGTTGTCGAGAAAATGAAGGAAAACGACGACGCTGTAGAAATTGTACAAACAAGGCTAAGTTAGTCATTTAACACGAAATCCGAACCGTTCCGTCCTATGCATACCAAACATAACACAAACCTCCATTTCGTCTCATCCCGTCCGGTCCCGTCTACGTACCAAACGGTACCTCAAGATGGGGTGACACTAGAAAAGGGAGCTGACCCTACAACTTTCCATGCAAACCCGCATTTACTTACAGCTCCTGCACTCCTTGCATGGTCATAACAAATAATATATATCTCGGTCGACAAATATTTCACCCGTCAGCCTTGTACTCTTGTCTAAACCATCACCACCGTACAGAATCTACGATCACAAATCCGAATATATGGGGTTAAGATTTCAACTTGAAACCTCCCACAAGACCTAACCAGAAGACCTGATTCCTTCAGTATCCGATGGGCGCTTGTCAATATTGTGTACTGGTACCACATTTCATTATTGGATGTTAAAGTATGATTACCTATATGACAGCTTCTTTAAGTAACCTGTCAACTTAAGTCCTTGTGGACATACAAATATACATATGCAAGCATGGAAAAACATGGTTGCGGGCGATCACCAGGGCCGGCCCTGAGAATTTGGGGGTTCTAGATGAGCCTTCGAAGTGAGGTCCTAAAATTCTTTGATCTCGGTTCTTTGTATATTGATTTGTATAAAAAATTCGCTAAATACATAAAAAGTTCTATTTTCATATCAAGTATCATTAAAAATTAATATCAAAAGAAGATAAATATACAAACATTATTTAAACATTACACGATTCACGTTTTTAGACACAAATGTACTAAATGTTTGCAGTCAAGAGTTTAAGATTAAGAGTGAAGAACAATAAAACTTGATTAACGAGTATAATAAATTCAACGCCAATTGTTTTCTTGTATTTTTTTTCTTCTAAAATCAACATCACACTAACGAATTGAATATTAAAATAATCCATTGAATAAAAAAGTTATTGAAAAGAAAAATATATAATTCAAAGTTTTGATTACCTTAAAGTACAATCTTTAAGACCATATGATAGTTGGTTTAAACATTCAATGGAAATAGAGAGAATAGGAAGTTGGTTTAAACATTTGATAGAAATTGAGAGAATGAGAAGTTGAAAGAAAAAAAATTGCAAAGAGACTTGAGTTTTAGAACTTTATATGCATTTGGACTGAAAGGCAGCTTCGTGTTTCAAACTCAACACCCCAAAGAAAAATGAAGCCAACATTCCACTGCACTAACAAATGAATTATGATATTTCTTACTTTTTTTTTTGTATTTATATGTTAATTACAAGATATAAAATTTTTTTGGAGGCCCTTCCAAAGTGAGGGCCCAGACGGGCACCTACTTGGACTACCCTTAGGCCATCTCCAACCGAAGGGTCCAGAGGGCCAGAGGGCCGAAAATAGCCCTAAAACCGTCTTCAACCGAGGGCTAGGCCAGAGGGCTCTGGAATCTGGGAGGGCCCCTCGGGATCCGAGAGGGCTGGAGGGCTGGCTATTTTTTTTTTTTAATGTTTCCTATTGCTGTCGGTTAAAACCGACAACATTGAAGAGCTTTTTTTTTTTAATAGTTCTACTATTAGTGTCGGTTATAACCGACGCTAATAGTTTGAAATATTTTTGAATGTAACGGCTAGCTGAGTCAGCTAGCCGTTGGTTTTTTTTTTTTTTTTTTTAATTTATTTTAAACATTTTTTTCTTCTATAAATATGGTGAAGTTCTTTCAATTCTTCACTTCATTTGCAATATTTCCTTCTTCAATATTTTTCAATATTTCCTTCAATATATTTCTCAATATTTCCTTCAATATTTCCTTCAATATATTTTCTAATATTTCCTTCATCTATAATATTTGTTTCAATTTTTCAATATTTCCTTCAATATATTTTCCAATATTTCCTTCATCTATAATATTTGTTTCAATTTTTCAATATTTCCTTCATCTATAATATTTCTTCATTTCATTTGCAATATTTCCTTCATTTTTTTTCAAAAAAAAATGGCCTCATCTGCAATGAAAGGTAGGGCTTGGACCCGAAAAGAAGATGAAGCTCTTTGCAAGGCTTATAGATGGATCTCAGAAGATAGTGTGAGGGGGATTTCTCAAACAAGTGAAGGTGTTTGGACTCGTGTGTCCAAAAAAATACTTAGAGTTCTACGAAGGCACCATTCCACCGAATACCCGAAACCACGAAAGTTTGTTCTTCAAGATGGAAGAAACATCTTCATCCAAGTTTGAATAAATGGCATCAAGCACTATTAGCAGCAGCAAGTAGACATGAAAGCGGCGCCAATTACTATGACGAAGTTAGTGTTTTTACAGTTTATTTTCAATGTTTAATTATATTACATTAATTTCGTGAATTAATTTCCTAAAATTTTTTTAATTATATTTTCTAGGTACGCCAAGCGGAGGAATTGTATATGGAGGGCAGCTCAAAACCCTTTCAGTTTCACGGTTGTTGGGAAATTTGTAAAGGGTGGGTGTTATTTGAAGATCCACCTCAACATAGAGTGGATCCTTTGGAAGCTGCATCCCCATCTGTAGATATGAATGAAGATGGATCTCCTACCATTCAACAAACAAGGGTAGAAAATCCGACTCCATCCGAAATTTCTTTACCTAGGCCTATGCGACGAAACAAGGCCCGAAGGTTGAGGGAAAAGGGCAAGGCAAATGCTGATTACGCCGCTCAACATGAAGTGGCGGCCTCATTTCGATTACTGGCGGAGCAAAATGCCCGTGAGGCGAAAGAAAGGAAGTGTAGACATGAAGAGCGAGCCAAACAAATACAAGAAGAGATGGATGATAAGAATATGGAAAGGAACACTTCGAATTACACTCCAATGAGTAAGGCCTATTTTGATAGGAAAAAAAAAGAAATTATGGCTCGGCGGCAATTGTTTATCTCTGACTATACTCCTACAATGGCGGATGATGAAGATAATATTGATTATGGATATTAAATTTAAGTCGTTGTAATTTTTAAATTTAAGTTAATGTTGTTTTTAAATTTAATTTGTAGTGTTTAAATATAAGTTGTTGTTTTTAATTTAAGTTGTTGTAGTTTTTAAATTTAAATAATAAATTATGTTTGGCCCTATGGCCCTTTGGCCCTCGGTTGGAGACAGTTTTTTGTGACAGGGCTAAAACGAGCTCTTTGGCCCTCTGGCCCTCGGTTGGAGACGGAGGCAAATATGGCCCTGTACTGTTCATTAAAATATTAATATCTTGGGGAATCTTGGAGGGCCAGAGGGCTCAAACGAGCCATCTGGCCTGCCTTCGGTTGGAGATGGCCTTAGGGCCGGCCCTGACGATCACACACATTAATGGGAGTAGGAGTAAATACTAAAAATCGTGAATTTGTAGCTCCCATCCACAACGACTTTACAATGGTAGACGTATGCTTTTCCAGACACCCAATCGAAAGTCCACATCCCACCGAAAACATGAAAGGGACATTAGGGCATTAGGCATGTTTGGACTTCAAATTAACATGGAGGTGGATTTTCTGCCCTCCTATTTCTATACTCTTCTCATCATTTCTTATTTATGTGGTCACGGTTAAACCACGTTAATATTTTATATTAATTTTTTTCTAAAAATAATAATAATAAAAAGTAATAAGAATATAAAATGTTGACGTAACTTAACCGTGATCACATAAAATAAGAAGGGATGAAAATAGTATAAAAATGAGAGGCCAGACAATCCATCTCCAATTAACATTGGCTCTATGAGGCTCAGACTCACTTTTTCAGTTAATGCACAGGTGAATATTTATGTTGATAAAAGTGAATGGTGTGCAAGCCCAAGAATTTTAAAAGCATTTTCCACAGGGCTTTATGGGCGGCAAAACCCTCTTTCACACTGGACAGTTACCTCGGTCAGGTTTTACAGAGGAAAGCCACTTTTTGATGAGTTTTGAAGGGATGAAAACTAAGTTGCAATGTAAATTCTTATCTCCTGTCAGTAGTCACATCAACAACTAGGAGGAGAGAGAATTACTTTGAAGGGAAAATATGTTCTATATAAGGTAGCAGAAACGCAGAAAACAATAACACTTAACTCACAATACAAAAACTTGCTGCAACCTACCTTTTTCCAAATTCCTTTGAAATTTGACATATCTCTGTAATTGCATCTGCTACATTGCCTATATTAAAACTTCATTTCAAAAGTTTTATGTCCTTAATTGAGATTGGAAATTTTGAGTGACCCTCCAAATTTTGCCCGAGCTGGCAAAAGTTTTCTGTGTCTTTGCTTTTTATGAAGTATGTACTACAGTTAAATTTGTTTGAAAAAACAGCTTCATCCAAAAGCTTTGTTCATCATTTAGATATAAAAAAAACCTGAGCTCAAAAATGTGTTTCGTAAACATTTAAAAACAGCTTATTGTCACAGTTTTGAGTGAAAATAAACTGAAAACGTGAAGCAGCAAAAATAAGTTTATTCTCACAACCCAGCAGAAATAGTTTTTTTTCAAAGCACAGCAATATCAAACCAACCCTAAACAATGCATCTTTATTTCACAAGTTTTCATACGACTACAGAATTACAGAAGGATTTTGAAGCAAAACTTAAAAAAAAAAAAATTAGAAAGGCGAACTTTTACTAATAGAAGTATTGATAGCCAGCAAGTGGCTTTACAAAAACTGAAATAACAAAAGAAAATAAACACAAACGAACAGAAATTACAAATGAGCATCCTTAGCTAGGGCAACAATCCTAGCATACACAGTCTTCATGTCAATCTCCAGCCTCTCAGGTTCTTCAACTGCGATGTTGCTGTTGACCAACTGAGCATCCAAAATATCTACTTGTTGACTTGCACTTCGGGCCTCGACCACTTTCACAGCTAGTTCACTAGCCAAGCTAGCTTTCTCAGCGTTCAGTTTGGCCAACTCTTCCTCTAGCTGCTGAATTTGTTGGTCCACTACAGAAATACTATCCCTAATTTCGGTTCCTTCTCCAATAAGAGATTTCAAAAGAGTAGAGAACTCAGAGTGTTGGGGTTTCATTTGTTGCATATGTTCAGCCTCTTTGGCAGCTTGGAAGTATTGTTCCTGCAACTGCTTTAGAAACTGGAAGAAGGATTTAAAGGTCTTGAATTGCTCTTCGGTGATCTCATTAAGCTCATACAGCTTCTCAAGTGTACTCTCAGCTTGATTAAGCATGTCGCGTTGGAAGTTGACATCAAAACCACCTTCCAACCAGTGTTTGAAGGATTGTTTTAGATCTTGAGCTTGTTGGACTGATGGCTTCTGGCTCGGGGAGTCAACCTTTTGCTTGAGTTTCTGAAGTTCGAGCAAGATCTCAGAGAGGGATATGTTGGGATAAACCACAGCTAGAAGAGTTGGCTGCTCTGGTAAGTTGGAAGATGAGGAAGAAGCCTTTTCTTTTTGCTTGTTGCTCTGAGAGGGTGTGCTAGGCTTTTCCTTGCTAGCATCAGGCACAGAATGAGGAACAAGGAAATATGTGTTGTGAGCTTCTTTTGTCGAGCTAGGGGCCTTCCCTTTCTCCCTTGACGAACTGTCAATATCCACTACTCCAATTGCTGGGGTATGGGGAAGGTTGATAGTTAGATAGGCCTCTTCATGTGTGGCTAGTAAAGATGGAGCTGCTGAACCCTGAAATCGAAGTGTGTGAGGCATGAAAATCATGGTAAAGTTAAAAAGGATAACTGCAAAAGTAAATAGATAAATGACAACGAATATACCTGTTCGGGAATTGTTGCTACCTCTACAGGCAAATCAACATTCTCAGCCTCTATCAAAGCAACCTTTGATTGCTCGACGACAGGAGGTGAAGGAGATTTGTTGCCCGAAGGGAAAGTGAAAGGCTCCTTTGACATCTTAGGCTCTGCATTAGCACCAGAAGGGCCTGAGGGATGAACTCCTGAACTCCCAACCTCATTAGGATAAAGGATATCTTGGAGAGGTTCATTCATGACTTGATTCTTTTGTTCCTGCTAGAACAAGCGGTTAGTTATCCATGGACAAGAGGCATAAGAGAAAATTAGGATTTGTGAACCACAGAAAAATGTAAATTGAATATCTAAAGGATGACTTATGGCAGCAACAACATTTTTATTGTGGTTTCTCTCGTAAGTTAGGTGAAAACTCACCACCTTTGAAGGAGATATTATAGTCTTGGGCCGAGTCTTTCTTCTGGTTGAACTCCGACAATCCTGTGTTAGAATTCATCGGTAAGTTATATAAACTAACAACTCATCAAAAAGCACTTAATCACTTATTGGCTGCTCCCTTCTTCTTCCTACCAACTGTCCCAGAAGCTTCACCTATTTTGAGACCAGTATCGGGCCTAGTCCTCTTTCTGGTTGAAGTCTAGGAAGCCTCTGAGGCAAGAGTGTTGTGCCTAGCCTTAGTTCTCCTCTATCTGAGCATCTTTGATGAAGATGAAGAAGTAGGAGAAGTTGCTCGAGCCCGAGAACTAGCATCTTTTATGGCTAATCATCATATTGATTCAAGGCTACAACGAGAGGGATCCACTAACTTCCATACCCTTTAAAGGGTTGGGGAACATGAACTTATTCATCTAATAGAGCAAGAAGTCCATGTGCTCTTGATCTCTATTGGTGGAGAAGGACGAGGACGAGGGGCCATACTTGCTTTTAAAATAGCTGAGAAAGCCAAAGTAGTAGGTCGCACAAGCCTGAAACCCTGAAGATAGATACTTAATCTTCACTGTTGGTAGAGTGGCCTCAACTTCTCTTTTCTTCTTCTTCGACTGCAAGTCCCAGTGAGACAACTAATCCTTTGAGACGTCAATACACCTACCTCATGGCCACATACCAAACAGCTGAGCCTCTGAAATCAAAAGTATTGATTGCATTATTCCAGAATAGCAAGGCTGCACTGAGCAGTTCGGGCTTCAGGGTCACAGAAGATTTGGACATCATAATTCAGGTCATAAATCCCATTCGACCACTCTTGCTATAAAGAATGGTTCTCGAGCATCAACCCACTTCGACCACTCTTGACCAGGGGCGGTCGGGAAACCTCTAGAAGCGTTACTCCACCTGGTCGGGCAAATTCCCTTCGAATTAGATTAAGGAGAATGAGAGAGCTAGGTGGCTGGAGGCTTATTTTTCTCAACTACATCTGACATTTCTTGGTACCACAATGGGTCCAAATAGTAGGATTCCCATGGTGAAAGTAGACTGGAAGATTCAGACCACCTTGCACTTTGTAGAGTGTTCAATCGAGTTCTAAGGCTGGTAAGACCTTCATCAGACTCATGACGAGAAGCTGTTGAAGTCGACATGGATGAATTGATTGAGAGTTTGAAATTTTCAGAAACGGATAGTTGAATTCAGTTTTCGGAAGATGAAATTATCGATCTTTCGAAGACTTAAAGTTTTCTGGAAACTGAAGGTGAAGTGAAAATTGATAGCGTGTTCCCTTTTATATCCTTTAAAATTTGCCCGTTAGAGCTAGTGGATTAGAGGAAAAGTTTATGCTAATAACGGTCACTTAATGGTGATAACCCCCTTCCCGACAAGCCGAAGGTGAAAGGTTTTTTATAATTAAGCCAAAATTAAATTGCTTAATTACATTTAAACGGAGTAACATTAGCCCTGTTCGAGGCTCAATCTCTTGTCAGTAGTCACATCAACAACTAGGAGGAGAGAAGATTACTTCGAAAGGAAGATGTTTGAACTAAAGGGAAAATTTGTATAAGGTGGTAGAAAGGCAGAAGACAATGACACTAAACTCATAATACAAAAAGACTTCAAATTTCTGCAACCTACCTTTTCCAAATTACTTTCGTAATTTGATACCTTTGCAGTTGCATTTACGTTTAAAGCTCTGCCACATTGCAAGTAGTATCGATTGTCTGTAGTATCTCCTGTCAGTTGATCACAATGAAAGAAAATCATGAAACAGAGAAAGTGCAACATATCTGACCTTGAAAAAGTAGAACCGGAGTGATAGAAGTAGGAGGAGGAGCAGAAGACGGGCCTTGAAAAAGAAAAGTACGGGCATCTTTCGAAGGAGAATTCGAGGGATAGGAGTAAAAAGCAATCGTAAAAGAAAAACAATCAGAAATGACACAATCCATGTTAGAACCTAGCTCCACATCTTCTACAATTGCACAGAGAAATACTAACAGAACAACAATATCATTTCATTAACTGTCTTCCTTCTCTTACAATGTACTATTTATACTCATGCTCAACTCTAATTGTCACCACAAGATGATGCCACCTGGCATCCTAACAATACCCCCCCCTTAAAACCAATCTTACAAGTAAGATTTACAATTTCGAAGTAAGTACAATTGAAAACCAGCAATAAAACTATAACAACAACATCACAAGAATGTATTAAAGGTTCACAATTTCCGGAACTTAAGCTTCAGTCCATGGTATAGCTCTCCAATAGCATCATTCCTGAAATGGTTCTGCCATTGGACTCACTTCACTAGCAATCAGCATTGCTTCTCTAGCGTAGCAGAGTAGCTCACTGCCTTGACTCCACATTACACCCTCCAAAAAAGTTGAGCAATGGTATTGACCAAATCATTTGATCAACATAAGCGTATTGCTTGTGATGGATATGACTGCAAACCAAAAGATCCATGAACATTACTTTCAAATGTTAGTTTCTTCTGCCTATAAAACATATGAACCGGATAATCCTCCCTAACATATTTCTTCCCTGATTCGATAGCAAGATGCTTCAAAAACCAATTGAAGTTTTTCCAGGTCCTTCTATGATTGCATCAGTTGCTCGGTACTGAGCACCAAAAACATGTCTCCCAATACATGTTGGCATTGTCCAATCTGGAACAAGAAGGATAACATTTCTGCAGATAAAAGGTTCTCCAAAAACAGTACCATTTAAATGGTTCCGTATGGTCCCATTTGGACTCCTCCACATCTGTTTCAAGTGGAACTCCTTAACACGAGTTTCATCTGGAGTGATAGTTGCACACTTTATTGCGACATTGTACCAGAATTTTGAGCCACCACCCTTATCCCGAATGCCCTTGCAATAGTCACGATTGAGAACAACACGGCAAACAACACAGCAAACAATACAGCAACCATTTCCAAATCTGGAGAGAGTGAACTTGCTTTCATGTTTTCTATTCTTGTCCATACAAGCTTCTAAATGATGCAATCCTAAAATACCAGCATACTCCCCATCAATGATCATGGAAGAATCAAAACTTACCTCACGTTTGACCACCGTGGAACAATCAAAACCCCGAGCACAATCTGTATTCTTGGACTTTGAATTAAAGAGCCTCTGGCTAATTGTCCCACCCTTGTCACGAATTAACTCATGGAAACCAAGCTTCAAATGCACAATAGTAGCATTTTTCATGACTTCACCATGACAAACAAGAAATTTAGAACTATGAGCATCTTTAATTTGAACATTCGAAGTAAAGAACCTACAAAGTGTACCTCCGGTGTCAGAAATCGGCATGTGATAGCCCAACTGAAAATCACAATCTGCTGAGTGTGACCTTTCATTAAACACTTGGAGTGCAAGTGAATCAATTTTCACGAACCCATCATCAGATACGGAAATTATGAAAATGAATTCTTGGGCCAAGTCGTTCGTGCAGTGAAATTCCCGATTAGACGAAGTCGACGTCCTGAATTGATTGAATTTATCGCTAAACGCAGCAACCAATTCGTTAGGAGATGAAGAACCCAGAACGCAAGCTTGAATCTTGGATTTCATGCAATCAGAATCAAGAAATGGAGGACTTTTCACAGGGTCTTCAACTTTCTTGTCGAGTAAATCGAAAACCTTTGCATTCTTTCCAGCCAATTCACTTCGAAAAAACCCAAAAATTTCTTGAAATTTGGAACTGGAACGAAACTTTGTAGAATCATCTTTGTGGTATTTGCCGTAGTCATGCACCTTCTTGAATTTCTTCAATATGGGTCGTAGACCAGAACGAGTCTTGGGCTTGTATCTTGGACGAAATTGAGACCAGAATTCATCTCTTTTCTCACGGGCTTGAATCTTTTCGTTGTGGAAGGATTGAAGCTTGAGAACAATTTCATCCGATTTCACAACAGAGATATGAGACGCCATTTTGAAGAATGGTTGCCTCGAATTCGATATTGAATCGTGACCTTAGCCATGAGGGACCGCAATTGAAGAAGAATCAAGTCGTGAGACTTCTTGAATTCGTCGAACTGGGCTGCCAGATTGGAAACCCTCGATTCCATGGTTTTTTTTTTTGCAAAATGTTTGCGGCGTTATACAACGGAGAAGGATTGAGAGGATCAACGCTGGCTGATACCAATGTTAGAACCTAGCTCCACATCTTCTACAATTGCACAGAGAAATACTAACAGAACAACAATATCATTTCATTAACTGTCTTCCTTCTCTTACAATGTACTATTTATACTCATGCTCAACTCTAATTGTCACCACAAGATGATGCCACCTGGCATCCTAACAATCCATGAACGAAAATCTGACCTATATGAACAGGACTGATGAGAGGAAGAGCAGATGATGGGCCTTGAAAAAGCGATGTACGTGCAGATTTCGAAGGTGATGCAGAGAAATAGGAATCTAATTGCTTCTGTCCTCCACTAGTACTCCCTGCAACTCACATAGCCAAAGTGCCAAGTTTCAAAGAGACGGATTAACGGTCCATTACTAATCAACGGTTCACTACTAATCACATCGATATTGTCCTAGTTTACATCTATATTATAAGAGAGAATTATCACAAAAGAGGCTCGGCAATATTAGAAGTGAAACCTTTCTTTATATATTTTAATTCATTTTATCAATTGATAGTTTTCCGTAGGATTCTTGCATTCTTCGAGAGAATAGCAGAAATCGATTTTAAAAATAATCAGCCAAGAAAACCCATCACTGATCAACCAAAACAAAACAACCCATGAAGTAAAAATCTGACCTTGACGACCGGGAGTGATTTGGGAAGCAGAAGACGGGCTGTGAAGAAGCGGAGAAGCAGCAGGGCCAGGCTTGGAAGGGGAAGGGGAAGGAGAACGAGAACGAGGGGCACATTGGTACCTTTCTTGGCCGAGCCAGAACCAGATGTATTTACTGAGGTTTTGGATCTTTTTACTTTTGTAAATTTTGCCGAGGAGTTCGAGTGCCTTCTCCTCCCCTAGCAAACACAGCCTCCTTCTCAAATCAGCGCCCGGCTGCTGCTGGTCTTTCTCCTCACATATGCTGTTCAGTTTTTGCTCCACCGGCAGGGGCAGAGGCACATGGAGTTGCGTTTCTGGGAAATCGTCTCTGGCAGTGGCCGCCGCTGCTAGGCGTGGCTGGGACAAAGTTCTAATGGCGGAGGTGGGGAGTTGAGAGTAGCTGAGAGAGGAAGCGTCGGGATTTGACAAAACGGGTTCATCGAAACCAACATCCGCAATCTCTGTGTAACTGCGTTTGGAACCGTAATTATGCGGATGATCCATTAGTTAACTTTGTAATTAACTGGAAAGGAAGAAAGGAAGGAGGTTTTCTGACAAAATCCAGTTGATTTCAAATCCGGTGGTTTAAAAGGAGCTACTACGTACTATTCCTTTTTCCTTTCCATTTCTTCTTCTTGATGTGATTTGAATTCACATGACGTCCCTCTGCCATGTGAACCAGACCAAGTTTATATTTACACTTTTTTTATCTTGGGATGAACCGGACGAAGTTTTCTGTGTACAGAGACTTTGGATTGGATCAAGACTCCAAGCTGATCCATGCCCGACAAGGTAAAGTGGTTCTTCATCCTTTTTCAACGATAGAAGAGATGACTTCCTCGAGGAGTTACTGTAAATTAGTCACCAAGTATATCATCCTTTTTCAGCTCTTTTCTTTTTCCTTTAGGGCTCTTTTGTGCATGATCCACTGGTCCATTAATTTTTAAAGAATTTTACCGAAAAGTTTTTGGTACTGTTTATTTTAACGAAAAATAATATTTTTATATTAAAAAATCATATTCATTTTAACTTTTGTTCTGTCATTTTCGTTAAAACTCAAAGTTTTCAAACAATTTTCATTAATTTTCTTTAATTTTTCACCAATCTGACTCAATTTCAAACCGTAAGTCACGTTTTAATATACGAAAATTAATGAAAACCTCTATTTTATATTTTTTACATGGTACGTAAATCACGAGGTCATCATCGTTGTGTTCGGTTTAATTATATAATATTTTGTATAAATTCTTTTATGCCTGATTCATAACAGTAAATCTGCTTTATGTAAAGGAAATTTTAACGAAAAGCACCTGGTACTGTTCACTTTAACGAAAAACTATATTTTTACACTAAAAAGTCAATCATGTTACTATTTACTTTACCCTTTATTTTGTCCTTATCATTAAAACTCAAAGTTTTCAAACCCTTTTCATTAGTTTTCCTTTATGTAAATTGTTGAACGACTTTACCTCCATCTCCATGTGCAGCTTAAGATTCTGTATAATGACGCAGATGGAATTTTCAATAGGAAAGACTTTTCAAGCACCAATAAATAATATAATAAGAGAAATATAATCGAAATTCTCTCAAATTGACATTCTTTATAGACTTTTACATCTCATATTTTTTACACGGATAATACTAAAGGAGACTAAATTTGCAAATTGATGTGTCATTGATAGATTGAGTACGTATATCAATACTTAACTAATAATCCAATCATCAAATTTTCATTTTATTAGTTTTCCTTTAATTTTTAGGGAACTTTAACAAAAAATTCTCTATACTGTTCATTTTAAAGAAAAACCATATTTTTATATTAAAAAATCAATCATGGTACTATTCATTTTACCTTTTATTTTGTCATTTTCGTTAAAACTCAAAGTTTTCAAATCTTTTTCATTAATTTTCCTTAATTTTTAACTAATCTTACTTAATTTCAAACCATAAGTGACGTTTTAATATACGAAAATTAATAAAAACCTCTATTTTATATTTTTACATGGTACGTAAACCACGAGGTCATCATCGTTGTGTTCGGTTTAATTATATAATATTTTGAATAAATTCTTTTATGCCTGATTCGTAATAGTAAATCTGCTTTATGTGTAAATTGTTGAACGACTTTACCTCCATCTCCATGTGCAGCTTAAGATTCTGTATAATGATGCAGATGGAATTTTCAATAGGAAAGACTTTTCAAGCACCAATAAATAATATAATAAGAGAAATATTATCGAAATTCTCTCAAATTGACATTCTTTGTTGACTTTTACATCTCATATTTTTTACATGGATAATACTAAAGAAGACTAAATTTGTAAATTAAATGATGTGTCGTTGATAGATTGAGCACGTATATCAATACTTAAGTAATAATCCAATCATCAATTTTCATTTTATTTATTTTATAAAATTTTATCTATAAATTTAGTCATATAATATTATTCTTTTGCATAATATTTATAATAATGAACAAAAATTAACGTTAAAATATAAAATTTACAAAGATTCCACTTTGAGGTAGCATTTATGATATGGAAGAATCCAAATAATATTGGGATTGAGATCTGCTGCCTTGCTAAGTGTCAGGGACACAGTAGTGAACTGTTGGATTTTTTTCAGGAGCTTACTAAACAAGGCAAACCCTTTGATGTGTTCTGGCGTTTGGGTCATTCGACCCCCATCCTCTCTAGTTCATATTTTGTCCAAAGATGGTCTCCCGTGCCCTCCTTAATTCCCCTGGAGTTGAGATTGTGGAGAAGTGCAGATTGGACCTTAGCCCCGCTGTTGTGTCATGCTTTGTCTTCTCCTAGTCTTAACTCTAGGGTGAGTCCTCGTTGACTCTTTTTGCTATTTGGTTCCTGTATTCTTTCCTTTCCTTGTTTTGCAGCTTGGCTGCTGGCTTCTGCTGTTATGAATGGTTCCTCTTTGTCCAAAAAAAAAACAAGGCAAACCCTTTGAATTCATTGGCGACGGCAGATTTTGAGATTGTGTAGTAGAAAAATTAAATTAAACTTATCCAAAGACAATTAATAGGATGACGAGCAAAAATATTTCTGAAGACTTTTGCGTCTTTTCTGCTTTGACGACATACTACAAATATTTTTCAAATGATTATCATATTGTCATTTTGTTTAAATTGAAATTTCAATTTTTGCATGACTCATTTCACACGTACTCTAATTACCAGAACAGTTCACAACTCGTAAAAGTAGTGCAAAAATCACTTTCTTAAAGTTTTGTTCCTTCGTTCCAACAGAATTTTATTGTCTTTTCACAATTTTCGACTCTTATGTTATTAAATTAACTAATTGATAATCAAATATTTGGGAAATGATTTTTGCTTTTTCATATATAGTCATGAATAATGGTTACACTGCATTATTAATACAGCATTTACTTGCACACGTCTTGCATCCAAGCACGTTCACAAGTTATACAGAGACTATACATAACGGGGGTGCCTCGGTCCTCAGATGAATATTTCAGCCGAGGATCTTGAGCCCCGTACCCCTTTCATTAGAGGATGTCCTTGAGAACAGAGAACGAGACTTCAAACGTGCGGTCCTCGTGTTTGGTCTTGTAATACTTACAGAGAGCTGAACCTGCAACTCTCCATGCAAACCCACATTTCCTTACATCTTTTACTTTCCAAGCGTAGTCATACGCGAAACGATATATGGCGAGTGCCTCGTTGAATATTTCATCCAAGGGCCTCGTGCTCTTCTCGAAGTCCTCACAGCCATACAGAATCTGCAAAAATAATTTGAGACAAACCAGTGAGAGCAGAACAGGCACCGGAACATGTAACAAGTCCCGAAATGTTTGTTCATTAATCTTACCTCTTTATACCGTCTTATGATCTTATCAGCAGCTTGATTCTTGCCCTCTTTGTCATCGTATTGCAAGACAGAGTTCATTTCACTCCTGTACTGAGTTCGTACCACTTCTTCAAGCACTGCTCGGAGAGGTCTTCAACATCGAAACACGGAAGTTTTTCCACTACTGCATAAGGGCACAAGAGAAAAGTCAAAACTCTTGTTTTTCTATGGATAGCAACGTATGTAATATGATTAGCTAATATTAAAACATTTCATCACCTTTGTCAGAAGTGTCTTCCGGTTGATATTCCTCCACCGCGTCATAAATTGATCCCAAAATGGAAGTTGATTTGTACGATTTGGGCTTACCCATGTAATGAGGGAATAACCGCGGTTTCAAATCATTGGGGATTTCGACCTGTTACTCAGAAGTGAAATCCAAGTTTTAAATCATCGGAGATCATACACAAACAGAAAATAACCAAACACTAGCTACTGAGTTCCCATTCCAATGCATGAACTGAAAACAGCAAGAGGGTGAGAATGTTCTTGCACCATATGCAATCGAGTCAAAGGGTAATCGAAGAATGTTCTTGCACCATATGCAATCGAATCAAAGGTAATCGAAGATGGACAAAAGTTCCATTTGTATAACATCCAGGAGAGAAAGTAAGATAATAATAAAGTCATATTTGTTGGTATTGAAAAGTTTACTAACTCAATACCAAAATATGTGGGTGATAAGTTTACAAACTCTATCACACCTCTCACTTTGCACTCTCAATAAAATTGGACAAAGAAATAGAGAAAGGAGGGAAGCTACAAGCTTTGGCAAAACACTTGGACTTTGATATATGAAAAGAGAGTTTACAAACTCAATAGCTTACAAGCTGAAAATGAGAAAGGAATTGGAATGGAATTGATTCTAAAGCCTAGCAAGAATGCCTATTTATACAAAACAGAAATTGATAAACAATACAACAACACTTGCAATGAATGATGGTGTTTACCATCTTTACATCCTTTCAAACACATGCAGCAACTTTGGATAGTATGGCACACATGCATTGCATTATTCCAGGTTGGAATCAAACCTTTCGGCTAGCACACAGCAGCTCACTTCTCTGCTGTCTTTCAACACACTTTCAGCTGGCACATGGAGAAAACTTTAGTCTTTGCAGTTGCAGCAAGTGAGAATACAACCTGTAAAGAAACTAACAGCTAGCAGCTGCCATTTACAATCTGTTTTGATTTGAATTTCCAACACACCTCCTTAAATCAAAACGCCTTCATTCCTAGCATTTCACGTAGCAGCCGGAATGATTCAACTGTTAGTGGCTTAGTGAAGATGTCTGCCACTTGTTCCTTCGTGTGACAATAAACAAGTTCGATTGTCTTTTGCTTTACATGATCCCTTAGAAAATGGAACCTGGTATCAATGTGCTTGCTCCTTCCATGTTGAACAGGATTCTTTGCAAGCTTGATTGCAGACATGTTATCCACATGAATCACAGTCGATTCCACTTGTGGATGACACACTGACTTCAATAGATTTCTTAACCAAATTGCCTCACACACTGTTGAGGCTACAACAACATACTCGGCTTCACATGATGACAAAGCAACAATTGATTGCTTCTTTGAAGTCCATGAGAAAGCTGTTGATCCTAGAAAAAACACATAGCCAGTTATGCTTTTCCTTTCATCTTGGTCACCTCCCCAATCACTATCTGAATAACCAAATAATTTTGCATCTTCACCAAAATTATAAAACATACCATAGTTTAGAGTACCTCTTATGTACCTCAAGATTCTCTTGGCAGCCAGCCAATGAGACTCCCTTGGTGTTTCCATGTACCGACTCACGAGTCCAACTCCATAAACTATATCAGGTCTTGTGATTGTAAGGTACCTTAGGCTTCCAACCAAGCTTTTGTACACGGTTGAGTTTACAAACTCACCTTCACCTTCCTTGGACAGCTTCAATCCAGTTGCAACTGGAGTGTTGACAATATTGCACTTGTCCATATTGAATTTCTCCAATATATCTCTCATGTACTTTTGTTGAGAGATGTAGATACCGTCACTTTCTTGCTTCACCTCTATGCCAAGAAAGTATGACATTAATCCATTGTCAGTCATCTCGAATTCAGTGAACATGGATTGCTTGAACTCACAGAACATTGCTTCATTGCTTCATGTAAACTGAATGTTCGTATGGGCATTTCTGAAATCCATTTTGGTGAAGGTAGTTATCGATCCTTGAGTTCCAAGCTCGTGGTGCTTGCTTGAGGCCATACAAAGCCTTCTTCAAACGATACACCTTATCTTCTTCTCCTTGTACTTGGAAGCCTTCTGGTTGTTCCACTTATACTTCTTCCTCAAGTACTCCATTAAGGAAGGCTGACTTGACATCTAGTTGATAAATTTTCCATTTATGATAAGCGGCAAGAGAGATTAGCAATCTTACCGTGTCAAGTCTTGCAACTGGAGCATAGACTTCATCATAGTCCACTCCATACTTCTATTTGTAGCCCTTTGCTACAAGCCTTGATTTGTACCGATCCACACTCCCATCTGCAGTGCGTTTGATCTTGTACACCCACTTGACACCAATAGCCTTCTGATTTGGTGGGAGCTTTGTCAACTCCCAAGTGTCATTCTTCTCGATGGCATGGATTTCTTCCTCCATGGCTATTCTCCAACGATCTTCTTCCACAACTTCATTGAATGAGAGAGGCTCGTGGTCTGCATACAAGCAGAAAATGTTGGTTTCTTCTTCTTCTTCTTGTCCATATATCTCGGTAAGACTTCTTAGCCTCACTGGAGTTGAAGAGATGCTTTCTTCACTAGATGTAGGACCACTCATTGCAGTTCTGTGCAATGGAGTTGTTGTGGTTGTTTGAGCAGGTTGTTGCTCAACAAGTGGTACAACTTATGGTTCTTCAAAATCAGTGGAGACGATTTTCCCTTTACTGACTTCTTTGTTGTTCCTCTTCCATGCCTCTTCCTCACTGAAGATGACATCTCTACTAACCACTATTTTTCTAGTTAGTGGGTTGTAGAGCTTGTATGCCTTGGACTCTTCACTATAGCCCACAAACACACACTTTTCACCTCGATCATCGAGCTTTCTTCTCTTGGCTTCTGGAACCTGAGCATATGCAACACACCCAAAAACTCTTAGGTGTGCAACATTCGGCTTATATCCACTCCAAGCCTCTTGTGGTGTCATCTTCTTAACACTCTTTGTTGGACATCGATTCAACAAATAAATCGAACAAGCTACAGCTTCTGCCCACAATTCTTTTGGAAAATTCTTCTCCTTAAGCATGGACCTTATCATGTCAAGGATGGTTCGATTCTTTCTTTCGGCTATCCCATTTTGTTGTGGGGTATAGGCAGCAGTCAGTTGATGCCTAATTCCTTGCTCCTTGCAGTATGCTTGGAAAGCATTGGAGGTGTACTCTCCACCTCTATCTGATCTCATAGCCACAAGCTTGTGGTTGCTTTCAGCCTCTGTGAGTGCCTTGAACTCCTTGAAGATTTTTAGGGCAGCCGACTGCTCATTGAGAAAATAAACCCAAGTCTTCCTACTAAAATCATCAATGAAAGTAATAAAATACCTATTACCTCCATAAGACATAGGATCCAATGGACCACATATATCCATGTGTACCATCTGCAGTGGTGCCTTTGCTCTCCATGTATCACCAACAGGGAATGATAGTCGTGCTTGCTTGCCAAGCACACAACCTTCACATACTTGGCGTGTGGCTTCAATCTGGGGTAGACCACGAACCATTCCTCCACTTGACAGCAACTTTAGGCCATTGAAATGAAGATGGCCAAATCGAAGATGCCATTTCCATGACTCATCTTCCATTACACCGATGTTGCAACTTCCAATTTTTGTGTTCAACTTCAACGGGAACATTCGGTTCTTTGACATTTGAACACGTGCAATAAGTTTTCTCCTTGCATTCCTGAGAGTGAGAAACATATCCTCCATATGTATAATATACCCTTTCTGGAGCAGTTGACCAATGCTCAGAATGTTGCTCTTCATACCTGGTATGTAGTAATTATCGGAGATGTATTCTTTTCTACCATCCTTCTGGATGATCTTGATCTTCCCTTTGCCTTCAACTGGCAGCTTTGAGGAGTCACCAAGACTCACAGATCCATAAGGCCCATCTTTGAGTTAGGCAAAAAACTCTTTCTTTCCACACATGTGGTTGCTTGCACCAGAGTCTAAATACCAAACATCTTGTTGGCTACTGATATCATGGTGTGCTAGTAAGACTGTAAATTCCTCACCAACATTTCCATTTGATTTTGCCATGTTGACATGCTCACCATTTTTATATGAACATTCATTTGCATAATGTCCATATTGCTTGCAAGTGTGACATTAGATATGCGCCTTTCCTCGGGTAGATCTCCACTCTTGAGATTGACCTCGGTTTTGTTCATAGCCTCGACCTCTTCCTCAGGCTCGTCCTCGGCTACGGTTGGATGAACTCCCACGACGTGAGTTCCACTGCCCACGACCTTTATTTGGTTTGTCAATTTTCAATTTTGACTCCAAAGCTTGCTCTAGTGTTGTGGGGCTTGCATTCTTCTGAATGCGTTGCTCGTGAACTAGGAGGGATCCTAGTAGCTCATCTGCGCTCATCGCCTCCAAATCCTTGGATTCCTCAATGGCAGTCACCACATGCTCAAACTTAGATGTGAGTGACCGGAGTATCTTCTCCACAACTCGTACTTCATCGAGTCTCTCGCCATTTCGCCTCATCTGATTTACTATCACAATGAGCCTTGAGTGATAGTCGGAGATGCTCTCCCCTTCATTCATGTGAGCAGTTTCAAAATCTGCTCAAAGTGACTGTAAACTCACTTTCTTGACTCGATCTACTCCTTTGTAGATTGTACTGAGTGTGTCCCATACTTGCTTGCTCGTTGTTGCTTCTGTAACCTTCTCGAACGTTGAATTTTCTAATCCTTGATAGAGAAGATACAACGCCTTCTGGTCCTTGTTTCGTAAATCCTTGAGAGTGTTCCTTTGATCTGCAGTATATGTGGCTTCTTGCTCGGTAGTGGGTACAACATACCCACTACTGACAACTTCCCATAGCTCTTGTGATCCAAACAATGCTTTGAATTGGATGCACCATCTTTCATAATTTTCTTTCTTCAATGTGGGAACTTGGAGCTGCACTAAGTTGGATGCCATAACTGCTGCACCTGCCAGAATTGTATTCTGGCTCTGATACCAATTGTTGGTATTGAAAAGTATACTAACTCAATACCAAAATATGTGGGTGATAAGTTTACAAACTCTATCACACCTCTCACTTTGCACTCTCAATAAAATTGGACAAAGAAATAGAGAAAGGAGGGAAGCTACAAGCTTTGGCAAAACACTTGGACTTTGATATATGAAAAGAGAGTTTACAAACTCAGTAGCTTACAAGCTGAAAATGAGAAAGGAATTGGAATGGAATTGATTCTAAAGCCTAGCAAGAAGGCCTATTTATACAAAACAGAAAATTGATAAACAATACAGCAACACTTGCAATGAATGATGGTGTTTACCATCTTTACATCCTTTCAAACACATGCAGCAACTTTGGATAGTATGGCACACACATGCATTGCATTATTCCAGGTTGGAATCAAACCTTTCGGCTAGCACACAGCAGCTCACTTCTCTGCTGTCTTTCAACACACTTTCAGCTGGCACATGGAGAAAACTTTAGTCTTTGCAGTTGCAGCAAGTGAGAATACAACCTGTAAAGAAACTAACAGCTAGCAGCTGCCATTTACAACCTGTTTTGATTTGAATTTCCAACAATATTGATATCATCCAATAACATGACTGAAGCACGAAATAACAGAACTAACCGTTCGACATTTTTTTGGAGCATCCAAAGCATCGTAGTATAAATCAATCAACCGCAGCATTTTTGCATTCGTAAGGGTTTTCTCATGACCATCTCTCATGGTCAAAAATTCATCCATATAAGCCAACCAGTTGTCAGAAGCCGTACTCATCGCAAAACTGAAAAAAAAAACAGAAATTATTTTGAGCACCAGAAACATAAGACTTGCTGTGGATGAAATTATCGATTTATAAACAAATTTAATACAAATAAGCATGAACCACAACCAGAGAGTGCCGTCTCAGTCTCAACAAATAGGGAGATCTACCATCCGATATCATATCGAGAAGAATGGAAACCAAATTAAAACGAGGTTCAACAATTACTTGATACTTTGTAACTGTCAAGAACGTACTAAACGTTAATAAGGAAAATTCTAATTTAAAGTTTCCTTTTGCCAGTAGAATTACTGAACTATGCTACCTTAAAGCATTCAAAACGATATCAAAAGGTTCTACTTAAGCTAAGAGCATTAACCATAGAGAAAATAGTAACTGCAACACATTTGGAACCGAAATAAAACCAGAATTTCAATGTAATTCAACTGAAATGGGTCTAATACAGATTCACCATACCTCGGTTCAAACCTAGTTGTCAAGAATTGTTTAAAGAGCGCATCCTCTATATGATCGGGCAAAAGCGCACTTGGTGGTAAGGTTGTGGCAGCTTTGGGCGTTGATGAAGTATCGATCCAAGGTTCACTTTGTTTGAAACATTCTAAAAGCTGAAATAATTCCAAGAATTAATGATGAACAAAATTATTTCCATTCCATGCATAAACTGGTTAAGTAGTTCTAGATGGTCTGTGCATGTTGAAGTTTCAAAATAATGACAAAGTAATCATGCGTAAATGCCAACCCGAGGGTTTCTTGAGACCCAATATAGATCGCCATCAAAATCTCCACCACCCATTTCATCAGCTACTGAATGCGAACCTTTGCGAGAGAAGAATATAGCAAAGCCACTATTTCCAACAAATTCTTTCAACTCATCCACGTAGGTGGCCTTCTGTTTGGGATAAAACTTAAACTTTGAGCTAAAAAGGGGGTTAGCCCGAAAGAAGGTCCAGAAGGAGGAAAAGTCCAGGGCCCAGCCGAAGCCTAGAAGAAAGAATGAGCATTTTTTCCCGTCCAAGTGCAGATCATTCAAACCACCTGCTCACCTACCTAGAGGTCAAGTGGTGTAGACCAGCCAGCTAATCAGCCCAAAAGTACTTTACAATGGCAGTACAAGTAAAAAGTTGATGGGTCACTACCCCTCAGAAGCATTCGGGCAAAATCAATACTGCAGGCAGCCAAGCTAAATCGTCTATAAAAGGAGGAAGAAAAATCAGAGACAAGGACACTTAATCAAACAAACAAATACAAGCATAAACTCTGCTCAAACCAGATTTGCCTTCACGAAGCTGTAGTCAGCCCTCAGCCTTCATCCCTTTCGGGATCAACTTTCACCAGAAAACCTTTGTGAAAGCTCTGCTACCATGTTCAAATCTTATTGTAGTATCGATTCCCTCATATAAACTCATCTTCCAATCTCCCTTGTTAGCATACGAACCCTTTATAAATCACAAAGAGAGGAAGTTGCAAGACGATCAGCCTTGCCCGACAAGGTGAAACCTTGCCCGACCTCCTTTGTTTTTGTCTTTCATTCATATATCTAGTAATATGATGTATATTTCCATTTGCATCCAAGTTATTGCTAGCCAATTTATGATTAAAAGACTTCTAAATTCTAACCATTCGGGCAGACAAGATTGATCAATTAAAAGTCCTTGGTCTCAAGGCATAAACAAGAACTCTATGTGGACTTAACCCATCCACGACAATCCTTGATAACAAGAAGTTCGAAGTTACTTGGGGCGTAAGTAATTGGCTTATTCTCTAGTTTTACAACTGTTATATCATGATTCCCACAAAACGCTTGAGTACAGAATTAACTCTGATAGGAAGCCTCAATGCCTATACCTAAGGCCCGACAAAGGCACCTATCTGAGTTCATTCTGCTCTGCTAGCTCGGGCAATTAAAGTATAACGATTGTGATACTTATGCAACAATGAAACAACCAATATATGTTCAAGTATTCGGTTAGTTTTGATGGGAAGCCTCAAGGCCTACACTTAAGGCCTCACAAAGACACCTTTCATAACTAACTCAGTCTCTCAGATATATATATATACAATAAAACTTAACATCAGTTTTACATTTATCATGCTAAAGATGGCAGTGGCACCCTTGGGTACTTAAAGTTAATTTTGATTGTGAGCCTCAAGGCCTACACCTAAGGCCCCACAAAGGCACCTTTCAGAATTAATTATGTCATTCTCTTACAGTCCGCCAATAAGCAAAAGCCCGACATACGATATCAACCGGCGCCAACCTCTCGAGGAGATGTGTGCTCGTTGGCCAGGAAACGTCCTCACTGGATATTCCTCTAGACGAACACCTTCAAAACATGAACATCACCAAAATGTAAACCTGGATGCCGGTACACTAGCACCTTTCCTTGAATTGGCCCGATGTCACCGCAAATGTCATTGGGCCGAAAATTAGACCTTCAAACGATAAGTGAACCATATCTATTGACATTAAGATCCGCATGGATCGACTTCAATACCACATATTATTATATGTGTCCATGATATGGTTTAACCTAAATTTCCCTACTCACAAATTATACATTGTTGTATCAGAAAACAAATTTTGCTATGTCCTACAGTCCTAATAGACATTGTTTTAAAGCTCTTAATTGTGTTGAATTTTTAAATATGTATGAATTATAGATCTTTGTGAAATCAACTTCAGATTGATTAGTAGTTAAATTCCAATTATGCACAATTTTGCTTCTCTGGGATTTACGGACGATCTTGTCCATTTGTCTTTTTTATCTCCTCTCTTTTTCTTTATTAAAAGTAAATATGGTCAGGTTGAGGGTTCCATGACAATCTCGGCACTCAGATGCCACGTGAACGAAGTTATTTTTATTCAGGCTAGGATTGTTCTTTTCCTTTTTTCAACAAGTACTGTTTCAGCACCTGAGGTTCGTCAGATCCTTTATGATTCGAAGTAGTTTTTCATATTGCGTTTGATCTCTCCTTGATCTCATAAAACATAATTTCTTTTCTCTTTTGTGGTAGCAACATGACAATGATTTTGAGCTATTTCGTTTTACTTTTCTGATTTTAGGGCACAATATTTGATTGTAGGCAATAAAATATCTGGGTGTGCGTTTATTTTTAATCATCAAAATTGGGTTTCAAGTGGGCGGGCTTTGCTCAAAATATGGGATCAAGAGGGTATGTATAATTCTTAAAGATTTCCTTTCATTTTTTATGGTGTCTGCCAACTCACTACATGAAAAACTTGACTATTGACACTGACATTAGATGCGAAGAATGCAGTGAGTAGAAGGCCTATCAATGACTAATCGTATGAGTAAACAACATATGACCGCCTAATCGGATTACCACTAATTGTCCTTTATCTCATTATGTGTAACCAAAGCTCTAAAAAATACTAAGCGCTAGTCGAGCGTCGGCTGGGGCCTAGGCGAATTTTTAATTTTTATATAACATATAAATTTAAACGTCTACTTATACTTAAAAAAAACATATAATTGTATTGAGATACGTAAATTGTAAAATAGAATAAAATATAAATTATAAATTATTAAAACATATTGAAAACATGAACTAGAATTATATAAATTATAAAGTATTGAAACATATTGAAAACAAGGAGAATAATGTATAATGAGTGTTCAATCAAGTATGTAACAAGTTTCATACAATTTATTGAAAAAAGAAAATACAAATTAAAGTTATTTATTTTCTGTCTAAGTGAAAGCTGAGACATAGGGAGTGCCTAGACAGGTCTATAGCCCCTTTCTTTAATGCTGAAGATATGCAAAAACTTTCTAATTTTCAGCTTGGTATAATCTTGTGTGCATGCAGGAACTATTTCCTGAACTGAAGGCATTTCTTGTAGGCCCTAATTGTTCCTATCTAAAGGTACATATAGCTTCACGTTTTGTTAGGAACATGTTTAATTCCTTCCTTCTATTTGTTTAATTAAATTTCATAAATATAATTGGGAATTTGAGATGCAGGCCCTTCAAGAATTGACGAGCTGTTTCGTTGTTGTTCATGTAAGTGTTATTGTTCCTTTTTTTAATTTTATATAAAGATGTCTGTATTCTACATCTTTTTAGTATAAAACATATGGTCATATCGACCTGATCTTAACAGAACCTCCATTTGATCTAATTGTGATTGTTGCAAATCCCCCCCGCCCCCCCTACTAAATGAGTCTTAATTTGCTTGTAAATGATCAGGACGACGTTGTCTTTGCTAAGGGCTCATTTAATGGACTAAGGATAGTCAGGATGGTTGTGGAAGACTGCTTTGTTTATAAAGTTTCTTCTGAATCCCTTATCGCCAGGGTTACAAAGGAGGGTTTGCATGGTTGGAGTGCGATGAATGGTATTTGAGATTTGCATATATGATTTGTTGAGATCTGGATGGGATTTCTTTTCAATGAGAATTCTAGACGGTATGAATATTTTGTTACTTATATTGATGATGCTTCACGAAAGGTTTGGGTGTATTTGTTAAAATCCAAAGACCAGGTGTTTCAGACATTCCAGGAGTTCCATGCCATGGTGGAGAGGGAAATTGGAAAACCTCTAAAGTACCTTCGTAGCGACAACGGTGGCGAGTACACATCTCACCAGTTTAGAGAGTATTGTGTGAAACGTGGCATACGTCATGAGAAGACAGTTCCTGGAACTCCACAACATAACGGTGTTGCTGAAAGAATGAACCGAACCATCATGGAGAAAGTCAGGTGTATGCTGAGGACTGCAAAGTTATCTAAGCAGTTATGGGGTGAAGCTATAAGGACAACCTGCTATTTGATCAACCGATCTCCATCAGTACCATTAGGTCTTGATGTTCCAGAGAGAGTATGGACTAGTAATGATATGTCTTACTTTCATCTGAAGGTGTTTGGTTGCAAAGCTTTTGTGCATGTGCCCAAAGAACAGAGATCGAAGTTAGACTACAAAGCTACACCGTGCATCTTTCTTGGTTATGGCGGTGAAGATTTTAGTTACAGATTATGGGACCCATACCAGAAGAAATTTATTCGAAGTAGAGACGTGGTCTTTTATGAAGATAACAATTGGGGATTCAGATAAAGAGGCACAACTAGATGGCGCAGTCAGAGGAGTTGATCCATTAGCTTCAGATGAAGAAAGTCACGATGACATCCCTGAAGTAGCTGCCAATGAAGTGTCTGCAGAACCAGATAATGCTGATCAGGGGGAGCCTGATCAAGATGTGTCAGACCATGAGATTGCTGATCAAGGGGAGCCTAGTCAAGAAAAGCAGATTCAAGGAGAACCTAATTAGGGGGAGCCTCCAGCCCCGCAAGAGAATGAAGATCAGGTCAGAAGATCTAGCAGAAGTCGAAGATCGTCTACCAAGTATTCTTCATCAGAGTATATCATGTTGACTAATTATGGAGAGCCCGAAACTTATGAGGAGGCCAGAGCTCATAACAACAGTGATAAATGGATGAAGGCAATGGAGTCAGAGATGGATTCCTTATTAAAGAATGGTACCTATGAGCTGGTGGAGCTTCCAAAAGGCAGAAAAGCATTGAAAAACAAGTGGGTGTTCAAATTGAAAAGAGACGACAACATGACAAGGTACAAGGCTTGTTTGGTTGTCAAAGGTTTTGGTCAAAAGAAATGAGTTGACTTTGATAAGATTTTCTCACCGGTGGTGAAGATGACTTCCATTCAAGTTATCCTTGGTAGTCACAAAATCAAAGTTGGAATTCTGCATTAAGGCTGCTGGGATGGACTCCAGGTAACTTGGAGTCATGATCGGAATTCCTCCCTCATGGACTGGAGGGGGAGATTGTTGGTATATGGTCCAACCCATGATTAATGTTCTAGATTATTCTAGTAAGCAAGAGAGGTGGCTAGAGCATGCTAGACAATTCTAGCATGTTATTAAGTTGATGGAAGAAGCTAGAGAGTACTAGCTTCCTTGGTTGCAAATGGAAAGATCTAGAAACTACAATTTTGTGGCTAGTCTAGATCTTTCTATGCTAGAGGTTTGAAGAATACACTAGAAACTAGTAGAATGCCAAACCCTCACTTATAAATATGGGTGTGATGTTGTAGTGAAGTAACCAATTAAGAACCAAGTGTGAGTAGCAAAGGATCAAGTCCAAAGCTAGAGTTCCACTCCAAGAGTGAGAGTGAGAGTGTTCCACTACACATTATGAGTGAAGTTTAGAGTGATATAAAGTGTGTGTCATACTTTCTTGTATCCATCAAGCCTTGTCCTTGGCTTGGTAAGACTACTCTTGTTGTACTCATCTTTTTCATAAAGTGAAGATTGATCCTTGTTTTGTGGACGTAGGCATAAATTGCTGAACCACATAAATTCTTGGTGTCCATTTTCTACTTTACCTTGAGCATTCTCTATCTTGTAGTACCAACATTCCTAACAAACAGAACCTCCATTTGATCTAATTGTGATTGTTGCAAATCACCCCCCTACTAAATGAGTCTTAATTTGCTTGTAAATGATCAGGACGACGTTGTCTTTGCTAAGGGCTCATTTAATGGACTAAGGATAGTCAGGATGGTTGTGGAAGACTGCTTTGTTTATAAAGTTTCTGCTGAATCCCTTATCGCCAGGGTTACAAAGGAGGGTTTGCATGGTTGGAGTGCGATGAATGGTATTCGAGATTTGCATATATGATTTGTTGAGATCTGGATGGGGTTTCTTTTCAATGAGAATTCTAGACGTTATGAATATTTGGCTAAGTATACTACTGAGACATTACAACATTCTTCTTAATTGCCTGCATTGCACAATTGACAAGCTATATACTTGACTTGCAAGCTAAGCCACTAACTAACCAAGTAACAACCCTGTACTCTCAGCTAATCAATTCACAATAGCTAATTTGGCAGGCATGTCACCCATTATTCCAACATTTATAAAATTTCTACGATCAATTACAAGAACTACACTAGTATCATATCAGATTACAGAGTAAAGGTTTCCAGTGTATTTGGTTAATTAACACCCACAAGGCGTAAGATTTTTGGTTCCGTGTCATTCTACCAGACATTTTGGTGTGGAAACTTTTCCCGCCTACACCAGCAATATTGTGATCATACATCGTCACCCCTTGTTTGCAATGTTCATCACCATTCAAGGAGTATGGTTATGCAAAACCCTTATAATTGCGTATGGATTATGCTGATGTGGGCGAAAGGTGGATCAAATTTTTGTTTGGGTTTTCTAGTAGCAACCAAAAATTAATTTTGTTAGGGTTCTGTTCTTTATTAGAGTCGCCTTTAATTTTTGCATTTCTTAATAATTAATAAGAACTAATTGAGTGTAAAAAGAAGTTTAGATAATTGAGTTGGGTTTTCACAAGCAAGGGTGGTTTTTAGGAACTAATGTTGGATACAAAGATATAATAAATACAT